ACACAAACACGTCTCAGCCTTTATACATACATTTTCATTATGTAGTTATGCTCAATAAACATGGCTATGACTCATTTGTGACGCTGATCTCGGCACTCTACCTTTTCAGCTGTACTCCAGAGGGGCCTGTTGAAACCCACATAATCAAACAAGAGCGATAAGAGTAATTATGAGCAGGTTTTTGACACCATATGGAGCCGCATTAGTCTCCTGCTACACTGACAAGTAATCAAAGAGATCATTTGCACCACTTGTTTTAAGTATGTTTCCTTTTAGGAAAAGCGTCTACTTTATATTCCGTATGTCACATTTTTAATGATAAAACACTGCTGCATTATGAGAACGACTGCTTCCTATAATCACCTCTGGGTAAAAACTAAATCCTGACAACAATTATTGAAATGAAATAAGGATTCAAGATGAAAAGCCGCAACATCTCGGTGTTTGAGACACAACTAGACAAGAACGTGCAAAGGCAGAAATATTATAGTTTTCATTCATTTAAATTTGTTTGTTAAAAGTTGCGGATCCAGGAACAGGTTGTTAGATACGCTAAAATATCCCATACAGCAAACAATGTCTGATACAAATGTGAGTTACATGTTTGTGTCAAAGTGAGGAATAGAGGTGGTGGATGATTAATACAAGGTGATTGTGAAAGAAGTAATGAGGTGAGATCGAAGTACAAAAACCAAAACAGCAAATCGGAACTATTACCAAAAATATGAGAGGTCTTTTATGTAAACAAAACCTGCTCCATGGGCCCCTACAGAGATGACAATGCAGGCGGTGGCTGTTGAAAGTGGGGTAGATGCTGTGTCATGTCAGCCCCATCGACGAACTGAGGCCTTGTCCCTCTCAGTAACGGAGGAAAACATTCGCAAGAGGCTTGTGGTTGGAGCTCAGCTATTCTTAGTAGACCAGGAGACACCGGCTGCACTGTCCGGGAAATATGACGTCTGCGCTGTTACATCAGATTTTGCTTGCAGATTGATTCCGCGAGGCGGTTTTGGTGCTGATGACTACGCACGGCCCCCGTTCTTACATGAGATCTGTGACATTTGTAAAGGGGAGATGGTGAAAGGTGAGAAACAGGGCAGAGACGGGGGAGTGAAGCACACCACACCGTGTGAGAGTGACTGCTCTCTCCATCTGCCAGTACCTTCCTACGGAACTAATTACCAGTGATGGACAGCAGACTAATCAGGAGGCCCACAACTCGCTTTAAATTAGCCAGAATGTGGTGTCATGCATGGTGTGATGGAGGGTAGAATAAAGAGGGAGGGGGTGGTGCATAGTGTAGATGAGGGGGATGAAGAGAAATAAGGATGTAGAGGTAAAACGTCTCTTTCTCTCTCCTTCCTTCCCTTTGTTCGCCTCCCTCCTCCCGTCCTCTCCGATACAAAAATCCAGTCATTATTTTCCTCCATCTGCGTCTGGGTTTTGTTCTGTCGGTCATGTCTGTATCTCTGTCCTCCCTCGCCCCTTGTCTCCTGTCTCGTCTAAGCTTCCTGCCTATCTCTCTCTCTTTTATTCCTCCCAGGCATTGGCGCTCTGTCAGCTAAATAAAAGCAAACGCATTATCTATTTTTTTTTTTCTTCAAACGTGATGCTTGAGGCAAACCAGTGGGGTTCCAGAGCATGTGTTGACCACTCCCACTCACCCAGCCGCCCATTCGATATTCAGACAACGGAAACGTACGTTCACACACTCGCACTAAGTAGTTAGCTGTTCTGCACCTGTTGGCTTTTTTTCTGGCTTTAGACGTTAGAATTTTCCTGTTGCAGTTCTTTCCGGTTTCCTGTGTTTTGTCTATTTTTTGCCTCTACTCAAATCTGGCAGTAGGACATAAGTTCACACAGTGTGGCAGCCTCAGCTCACTCTTCCTCATTAAGACAAATCTATCTGGTCTGCATCACTGATTTTCTGCACACAGTCACACCTCATCATTCCTCCTCATCGCTCGTGATGCTTGATCGCCGTTGCTGTGATGGACCTTTTGGTTCCCGATCCTCTGCCGTGAGTGGAGGTCTGCACCTATTCACTATTTATTGCGTTGATTCGTAAAACCAGTTATTGTTAATATTCGGAGGGAAAAAAAACGTGCCATGAAAACAATTGAAAACAAGTTCTCACTAAAATATTGAAAAAATAAAAATCACACCCTTAATGGCTCTCACCTCACTCTACATTTCCTCTGGCATGCCATCCATCTGCCTAATGGACAAGGGTGCAGCCGGCCAGTCATCCAGTGCACACTGCCTTAGTGTGTGTGTGTGTGTGTGTGTGTGTGTGTGTGTGTGTGTGTGTGTATATTGTTTGCGTCAAAAGGTTCATTTAACGTCTCCCGTGTGTGTGTTTCTCTGCGTGTGGTTACGTTGTCATGTATTATATCCAGGCCCCACTTAATAGTTTGCAGTCACGCGTGTATGTGTGTCTTTGACCCTGCCCATGTCATTGTGTATCTGCTGCTTGCACTGTAGGTGTGTTTCCACAATAGTAGAACGTGTGTGTGTGTGTGTGTGTGTGTGAGTGCCAGCGAACTCTCTAACTGCGTCAGCCATTAGGCCATTACGGACTGTAACTGGATCCCCTGAAAGCCGTCCACTGCTGCAGGGCGTTGACTGATGGGCGTGTGGAGGGATGAGCCGCCTCGTAGCCGTACAGCTGTAAAAACAAATAGAGGAGTGGAGTCTGAAGAGAGGAGTGCAGGAGAGCTAGAGGACATCTTGGGCGATTCCAGCTGCACAGAGACTTACCGTTACAGAAGACGGGAAACAGCTTCCCCCTGGCTGCTCTGTGTCATGAGCTTAACTGGAAATAACGGGATGGCTGTTGTTCTTTTTTTCTATGAGGGTGTGTGTGTGTCTGTGTACATCCATCTGATAATGATGGTGTCTTGAATACTTTATACAACATTCATATATACAAGAAGGTCAATGGACTTAGGAGGAGGAAGCAATACTTTCTATCAGTCACTGTGCAGACTAAGTAACTCCAACATGTTAGAACATCTCATAGGTGAGGAGGAGATCATAGGTTAGGTTATTTAGTCAGGGTGTGACATGCTTGAGGGATTATTGAGTAAATGATGCTTTTTCACAGGTAGACATGTCACAGCATATAGAAGCAGAGGATTCAATTATTAAAATGCATGAAGTAATAATTCCATTGAGCTGCTTTGATTCCAGGTTCCTGCCATTGTGAATGCTGACTGATATTAGTGTAGTGTTTTTCTCATTCATACGGGACCCGAGAGACAGTTATGGATCATAACATTACGTTTTTGATGGTATGCCTGTAGAGAATTTATCATTCTCAGCTTTTTGCTGACTAACTGCTATGTAGTTTGAGTTAATGATGCATCTGCAGACATTAGGTGTTTGGTAACACCTGTGCCTTTCTCACCATGACAACAGAGCCAGTCAGCTGTGAAAAACGACAAGCGAACTTCTCCTTATGTTTATTGTTATAATCTTTGTTAAAGAAGACACTGTCTTAAAGACAAAAATCAGTCAATCAAAAATCAATTAATCCAAAATCAATCAAATCCAAAATCAATTAATGTATATCCGTGTTTTTGTGTGACGTTATGAACAGAATTCTGGCATTGATGACCCAGATAATCTTGAGTATTACCGGGACAATGAACTCTGATTGATGGTACGAATAGGACAGAAGGTCTCGCATGTGTACAGATTCACAATCCCCCCCGAGGCAAATTTGCAATTGTGAGCTGTTGTTAGAATGTCTACAGCTGTGAGGCTTGAGGCAGTGGATCAACACACAAGCGCACAACAAACACAACACAACATACCAGACGAATGCAACTTCAACCACTAAATACCAAAACACATTGATGGTTGTTGAATCGGTCCGTCCCCTGATGTCCGTAATGAATTATTTAGTGTTTTGCACTTGTGCTGTTGACGGGTATGTCTAAAGTATGTCTCGGAGGCTCCGGGGGTGGGAAAGGGGGGGGGGGGGGGGGTCTCACATTGGTCTCCCCCCTTCTCCTTTACCCTCCCACACCCAAACCTCTCTTCCTTTGCCCTGCCTCCCTGCTAGTGGAGCCAGACTCACGTTATGCACGGAGCTGTCTGTGTGTCAAGGACAGACTCCGGAGAAAGAAAGACGACGAGGAGACGGAGGATTGAAAGTCAGGAGTCCGACAGACTCTAAGAGGAAGGATAAAGGAAATGCACTTTTGATGTATCATCAGATAGATCAAGACTCCAACAAAAAGAAAGGAACGAGTAGAGCGGAGACAAAACCTTCGAGTACTTGTGATCACCAGAGGGAAAAGCGATATCGGAGCAATCAGCAGGCATTTAAAAGCTTTAGTGGACTAAAACGTGTGTGTTTGTGTGTGTGTGTGTGTGTGTGTGTGAGAGAGTGTACGTCTTTACTAATGAAGTTAAGCTGATCTCGGCTCCAATGAAACACAAGGCCTGTTCCTGAGAACTGCACATGGCTCTTCATGGTGTGTTCAGGGTTCACTCGCGTCTCCCCCCAAAGGACTTCTGCTGTGTCTGTCGCTCGCTTCAACTCGCCATGCTGTTTCTCTTTTCCTCGTCTCTCCGGCTGCCGTCGCTGCTTACGACACATCACTCGAGTCAGTATTTAGCAGTATTCACTCCATCACCCTGAAGAGGAGATTTCTCTCCCTTTCGTGTTTTTTGCATGTCAAGCTCCACGTCAGCGCGTAGGGGGCATTACTCTCCCGCCCGGGGGCTGAAACTGCTCACGCGACTGGTATGTCCTCTCCTTGCCAGGAGACATTCAGTGTTATTTATATCCACACCAGATACTGCCCTCCTGAGCAGGAATTGTGGAGGCACAATTCCCCAGCGGCTCTGTCCCCGTCCTTGTTTAACATACGTAATTGTCGCTTGAACTTCACTGACTGAGGCTCGAGGCAACCTCTTTAATTGAATGATTATTCATGTTAATATAAGTCTCACAAGCCACTTACTTGTCGCCCCCTTCCTTCCTGCAGCGTGTCTGTTGCAGTCGGAGCTCGTTAACTATGAGAGGGTGAAGGAGTACTGTCTGAAGGTGCTGAGCCACCAGAGAGACCACTTCAAGGCCATGTACCGCGCCGGCATCGCCTTCTACCACCTGGGGGACTACGAATGTGCACTCCGCTACCTGCGCGACGCCAAGAACCGCGAACCCTCAGGTGAGGACAGTGGCAAGACTGTGTTTTCACCGGTTCCCTGGCGAGCCTCGTCTCTGCCGGGGTCAACGAGCTCGGCCGTTTTTTCAAAGATGAAGCTGTTCTTTTTATTTCAAACCTTTGTGCCTCACATTTGTTTTTTGTTTCTCTCTCGCTCTCCATCAACAGACACCAACGTGCTGCGGTACATCCAGCTGACTGAGATGAAGATGAGCAAGAGTTGTCAGCGGGAGCGAGAGAGCGGCAAAGAGACGCAGGGCTAAACACCCGACCTTTTCGGACCTCCTGACCCCTCAACCTTTGACCCCCCCCCGGTTTCCCCATCGACCCTTCCTTCCCTCGTCCGCTATCGACTCCCGACAGCAGCGCAGACGGAAGAGATGGCCGAGTCACCCGCCGGCGATGGATAAAAAACGGGAGACATATCAAGCTCTGACTGCAACCCAACCTCCCTTCTCCTCCCTCTTCTACTCGCTCTTTCCTCCCTCAGGTCGTGTGGCTCCTCCCCCTAGACGCAGACGGTTGAGCAAACTTAAAAAAAAATGTAAAAAATTGAAATGCTGTATTATACTCGTAGGAAAGAGTCCTCGTGGTGGAATGAAAAAGGACCATTCAAAATCGACATTTGAATCACGGACAGTTGCGTAATTTGAAAAAAAAAATGCATTTGGTTTCTGCTCTCTGCTCTCTCTTTTTCTCTCCGCCTTCTCGCCATCTTCTTTCCAACGGACAATTCGAGGTGGGGAGGTGAGGACAGTGAAGGGGGTGGGTGTGTGGTGCGTGCGTGCGTGCGTGCGTGCGTGCGACACATATCAAGACCATAGCCTCATTTGATTGTACGTCCCCACTACAGGGCTCACTCGGGCCGCAGACTATGGGACGGACCAGCACGAGAAACCTTCATCGAGTAGAGGAAACGCCTGCCTCTGTGCGTAATCTATCGCTCTACTGTCCCCTTTCTCTCCCGTAACCATGTAACTTTTCAATTCAAGGGCTAATTCACGTGTTTGTAAACCGTACTAGGGTTTTTTTTATTTGCTTTCGGTGTTCTTCATACTCGGTGGTTATTAGTTGTTGAAAGCATCTGTGTGTACTGCGGTTCTTGCTGTCATCAGGTGTACTATTGTAGAAACCGGTGTATCTTGAATCTGTTGTCATGTGTCGCCGTCTAGAATGTGGAAGCCACTCCGCCCTCCCACGCCCCGCCCGCCCCGCCCTTTTCCTCCCGTTAACGATGCCACAACGGGAAAAAGCCGATGGGATCAGAGTTCCATCGCCCGTAACCGTTGGCTATGAGGAAATCCACTTTAAAGTTTCACAGCGAGAAACACTTTTCTAAACAGAGGTCCAACTTTTCATCACGAGTGCTGAAGCTTCCCAGACATCAATAAGACACCTGGGAGACTCGAGGCAACGTCAGTGCAGAGAAAACAATCACACACACGTGTGTCCCAGGCGGTGTCGACCGTATCCTTAGAGCACTCCGCTTCAGTGCGCTTCAACAAGAGTGAGCCGTTTGAGCTCTCACATTAGACAACACGACTGATGATGTGGTTTGTGGATATCCATGGCTGGCTGTAAAAACATACATTATCTGCTTCTCTGTGAAGACGAATCACAATACTAACATTGCTCTCATGACAGCTTTGCCACAGGCTTAAATCTGCCCGTGCTGTTCTGCATACGGTTGGATTGAAGATTCGTGAAAGCATGACCTGAATTTTCCCTTCTTTCTGACGCCATGAAACCCAGTTTCCTCTTTCTCTTTTGCAAGTCCACCTCCTGCATGTAAAGTGCGGCTCCAGAGAGTTGATTTCAAATGTATGGGATTGGGATTATACCTGCTCTGTTGCTTCCTGCCGTGGCATGCGGCCACACTGCTCTCTCATACCTCTATTTCAACCATTCTGCCCTTTAAAAACACAGAAGGTGGCAACAGGCTACGATCACTGCAGCAGAATAGGAGCCACCTTCTGCCTCAGCCGAGGTGAGAAGAGTAATTACACAGCGTAGGTTGTTCAAAAAGATGTGGCAGAAGAAACCAGAGAAATATCCTGTAAAAGATGTATCCAATGTTTTCAGTTAATAGGTCAATAGGGACTTAAGTGTGTCAATGGGACTGGTGAAAGAGGCCATCATGTGTTGAGGGGACAGGTATGACACAGAAGGGCTCCAGTGGAGGGAGAAGTAGGCCATCATCATCGTCGTCCTCATCATCCTCAGTAGAGCAGCTGCAGATCCAGGTCACTCCAGCAGCAGGGAAACAACATTACTAACAGACCAAGTTTGGAGGGTCATGCATCACACCGCGACAACATTCACTAAACAGAGATTTAAGATATTTCGACTTGTCAAAGCATGAAAAGTACAGATGTCTGTTGCAATATTAAGATTTCTCTTAAGATTGAACTGAGTGGCTGGAGGTGTCCACTTAGCTTTGTTAGCCATATAGTGTAAATTATCAGATATATATAATATAACAGCTGAAATATGCTGATATGAAGCCGCAACAGCCGCAGGTTAGCTTAGCACAAAGCTTGGAAACGGCAGGATACAACCAACCTGGCTCTGTCCAAAGGGGATAATATCCTCCTCCTGGCGCCTCGAAGGCTCACGCAAGTTCCACTTTTTGTGTAATCTGTAAAAAAAAAAAAAAATCACCAAATAATTGGATTGATTCCCCAATTGTCAGACCACTCCTTCATATTATCTTACTGCTGAATTAAATGAATTCACTGTCACTAATTTCTCATACAAACAAATCTTGGTGTAAAGCACAGTATTATTCTAAAGGAAATTACTCGTAATTCCCAGAAACACTGAGTTAAAAACGCTTCATGACGCAGCTCTGGGGTTGACGCTTTAGTTTCCCAGAGGAGATGAATCGGCAAACAACAGCGACGAAATGGCCCCTGCAGGCTCCGTCTCCATGGCTGCCTGGGCTAAGTCTGCTTACTCAGGGGCCCTTCAGGGACAGGTCCCCTCCCATGGTCCCCTCTCCGTGGCACCAGTCCGCCATCTTGTTATTGTCGTCCTCGCTCGAGGTGTAATGCAGCCGTCGAGGCGCAACTCGCTTCGCGTACAACAAAGTTCATTTCTGTCCGATCAGTTTTAGTTTATATTGGCGGAGCCCACAGTGGAGCTGTCATCGTGAGCGTAATCTGTGCAAATAGAGCTAGACACACCGTTAGTGCAGCTTTGAAAAGAAACAACAAAAAGCACAACAACAAAAAAGAGACGGAATAGTCAAACTGGCTGTTATTTTTGCTTTTTTGCTTTGATGTCATTTGAGGTAACTGTTTGTCAAATGTCAGAGTACTTTTTGTGAATATATGATACAAATGTACGAAAAAAATTACAAAAAATGGAAAGTTTTAAGTAAGAGCTTTACTTTACGGAATAACTTTATCGGCGGAAAAAGAAAAGCAAGAGGTAGAAGAGATCGTTTATAGCTCGTCCCCCGAGCTGCTTTGTGAGTCTGTACGTGTTGGTATTTCTGTTGATGTTTTCGTCGAGGGATCCAGAACCGGCTCAGAGTTTGTGCATTTTCCTTCCACCCGGCTCTGTTTCTGCATAGCGAGACGAAAAGTAACTGGGAGCAGCAGGTCACTCTGAGGAAGTTGTAGCTGGGCTGCTCCCTAAAAAGCCGCATATGTCCATCCTGTTTGGTTGTGCGCGGATGGAGGGGAAACAGAAGGACATGAAGTTGGAGACGTCAAAGCTGGGACTTTGTTTTTGTTCCGCCTCGCTCCCAAGAGGCCTTTTCCCATTCAACGTTCAAACATCGCAGGCCTCCATCACTGGTTTTTACTGGTCTGCTAGCCTGGTAATGCACTATTGACTGGTAAATGAAGATTATGAATAAAGTTTAAAAAACAAAGAGGATTATGTTTGTTGTTGTTGTCGTTGTCCGAGTACAATGCTAAACCTGTTGCTATATATTTTAAAGGGGTACTCCTCTAGTTTCACACATAAATTATAGTGTATTTGTCAGCAGCTGGAAACCATTGAATTGTTCAGCCCTGGAGGTCTTCTCTAAAGTAATTTCATCCCACAAGGTAAAAAATTCTCAGTGTCAAAGATTTATAGACGTTTATATATTTTTTCTGAGCACTTTAAGAATTTTCTAGCACCGTGTCCCCAAACTAGAGGATCACAGTCAAAAATCCTACATTTCCAAAAATCCAACCAATAGCATCTTCTTTGTTAGACTCCTCCTGGTAAACACACATGTCTTTCTAACTCCAAGACTCTGGTTTAAGTAGTACTATCTAAACATCCTACACTTTATTCATTCTCAGTTTCAATACAACACATCATCTTAAAACAAATCTCATGGTTTAAATATTTAGTCTAGACTCCTGCAGATCTGAGAACATACCAACCGTCAGGAAATGTGGTTAGTTGTTCATATCAAAAATGAATAAACTGTCTCTTCCCTGTCACCTCGTCCTCTGTTCCCCGGCCCCTGACATGTTTGCATATTCAGTACTTTGATGTGATTGCTCCCGGAAGTGAAGAGAAAGAAAACAGAAAATATGGTGGAAAACCATGAAGGGGAGGATTGAGAAGGTGCTAACCATGTGAGAGTATCTGCTGTTAAGGCAGACCGAGAAAGCACACACTGTCTTCTTCCTACCAGCGGGGGGTGCGGGGTGCGGGGTGCGGGGTGCGGGGTGCGGGGTGCGGGGTGCGGGGTGCGGGGTGCGGGGTGTGTGTGTGTGTGTGTGTGTGTGTGTGTGTGTGTGTGTGTGTGTGTGTGTGTGTGTGTGTGTGTGTGTGTGTGTGCGAGCGCGAGAGCGAGAGCGAGCGAGCTGTGAACCGGTCAGGCGACGCTCAGCCTGCTGGCTTCTTTTTTGCTGCTCTTTATCACTTCATCTCTCTCTCTCTCTCTCTCTCTCTCTCTCTCTCTCTCTTTTCGGGCCCATCGTCCCTTTTCTCAGCTTTTTTGTCTGTTGTTCTGGCTTTTAATAGCATCACCATGGAAGTGAAGAGGGGTTGCTAGGTAACTGGCTGGCGTCTGGAAGGCTGTTTGATTGGCGGTCACACTGACAGACACAACTGTGGAGTGTGTGAGTTTGTGTTTGCTTCGTCCGCGCACACTGTGTGGCACAGTCCATCCCTCTTTAACAATGATGCCACATCAGTGGGAAATATTACATTTTGGTTGTCACTTGGAAGACTTCGGTCCACACTTTACATCTCAAAATGATTCTACTTTCATTGAATCTACAGTCACTGTGCTGAGAGCACCTTCATCTGCCTTACATGGTAAGTGCAGAGTCAGAGAGCAACAATGGGACATTACATGGAGAAAAACAGGTGATGACATCATAGGCCACAGTGGTGACACTTAGAGGAAATTGTCTGTTACTGCAGTTTCCTTTCTTTCTTCTGGTGCGGGCTGGTAAACCACAAACCATATTAAACTGGGCAAAACACTGACTCAAATTCTTGGAATTGGCTACTTTCCAGAATAAGATAAATAATAATGAGAATCGGTATAATATATCATAAACTCATGAAACACTTTGTAAAAGATAAAAACTGTTTCAAAGCTTTTAGGCTCATAAGATATTGTAATAAAGTAGTGTGCAGTTGGGGCCTTCTGTCATGTTTCAGGTGGCTGTGTGGAGGTCAGCACCACTGACCTGTTAAATAAGAGTTTAAGATATAATAAAATCAAATAAACTCATCTCGACACCCTCAGAGGGGTCCGACCTTTCGGTTTGGAATCAGCAGACTAAACTATTATGCAACTGTACAACGCTGAGTTTTAACAAGCACTTTTCTGTAGATTCTTTAGGAAAATGTTCTTTTGCACTCTCACTTGCTGCTTCTGGTTAAGGAAATGATCAGAGTCCTTCTTTCATCTCTACTCAGATGCATTTATATAAAGATTAAAAACATAGATGCAGCACTGACACTGTAGCGTATTTCTTAGTTGTTTTATTCGTCTGTCATTCATCACGTTTCAGTTATTCCTCATTGAAACCAGTAATGTCACAAGACGACAACATGGACGTTTCTGTAAGCAGGTTCTTGTTGTTTCCCGATGTATTAACAAATATATACAGATATCCCAGGAAGAGAATCGAAATGTCAATGAATCTTTTCCAATAATAACAATAAATTTAATAAATACTCAGTGTTCCTAACCACACGAGGAGAATGAGTTTGGGCTCACTCTGACGGGATTGTCATCGTCCCATACAAATATTAACACAAACACGCATATTCACTCTCACACACACACACACACACACACACATACACACTCAAGTAAAATACAACCTGCAGCCGAGACCAACTTTTCGACCGTTGTGCGAGGATAAAAGTCGATTTGTCAGTCCACTGGTCCACAGAGAGGCTGACCAAATGCCCAACACAGCTCCCAGTGCGCCACTGATGTTGGAGACAACTGGCCACAGGAGAATATGAAGCAACGGCTCAACATGAGATGGATGTTGAAATCGGGGAGCGTTGTCCTGGTCATTATGGTGCTACTGACTGCGAGTGTGGAATGTAAAACGTGCAAAAGACAAACGGATGAGACGTTATTTTGGAGAAGCGCTGCACACGTCCTTCAGCGAACCGTTCACGCACAAAAAAAACAAAACATGCACTGAAGAAGCACCAGCACGCAAAGAGATGATCCCATTTTTTTCATCCACATGTACAGTATTGTATATACACATTCACACAGAGAGAAACACGCCTGGTCTGCCAAACCAATAGAAAACATTATGTGAACAGGATGTTTGGGATGGTGCCTGCACTGTGAAGACGAGGATGAAACCGGTCCATCAGGGCAGTGAGATAAAAGGCTTTTTCCTGTCTCTTCTTTGACGGGAGAAGACAATGACCCCCATGCAGAGAGATGTCCCACGTGAGGATGAAGGCAGAGTTTATGGGAAATGTTTGTGCTCCGGCAGAACAGTTGGCGCGCAAAATAAGAACAAAGACACTCTCTACTAAGAATTCTAAACCAGTCCAGTGTTTTCCTAAAAGGTTTCAGGTGAAATGTGAATGAAGATTAATTTTTTCTTTGGAGTGAGAGCAGAAGCAGAAAGCGGGCCGGCGACACAGACGCGCAAAAGCACACGCAGACGAGTCGGGGATGAAAAGACAGCGAAGTGTCTTTTTAAGTAATTGAATGGCTTTTGAAGGTCGCGAAGCGTGTCCTTTGTCACGGGGCACTGAGAAGCAGGGAGAGATGGCGTCCAAGGAGGGGACAGAAGTGTTGGGTAAGGTAGGTGGCTGAGCACACTACAAGGCTTTTAAAAGGCCTCTAGGACCCTCCGTGCCGCGCAGGTCAGAGAGCACTATCGGGGAAAGGCTTGCTGTGAGGGTTTCCCACCTTATTAGGACACTAAAGGGACACATCAGAGGACTGGCTTCCAGTAAGTGCAAAAAACGTGACGTGTGGTGGGATGTTTTTGCAAACTTCAGTGAGTCCAGTTTTGGCTCAGACAGAAGTCCTGGAAGAAAGTTGAATGCATATAAGTGGACATGGCTGTTTTTCACTAAGAGTACTGCTGTCTTAACAGAGCGGCGAGCTTCCGCTGTCCACACAGGGGGACGGTCTGGTCCGAACTCTGGCCCTCCACGTCCATGTCCATAAGGTTTGGTCGCGCGGTGCCGGCGCCGCTGTCCCCTGAGCCGAGGGGGCTGTCACAGCTGCTGCCCGGCGACGAGCTGAGGGTCCGGGAGATGGAGCCCAGCTTCCGGGGGTCGGCTCTCATCTTGGCCGGAGTGGGCCGAGGCCGGGGGGCAAACTCCAGCGTCTTGGGTCTCTCGAGAGGGCTGATGAGGCAGAAAGGAACCTTGTCAGGGATCGGCGGAGCGGGGCCTTTACGCCTGTGGGGGACCGGGAAGATGATGGAGGGGTCGGGCAGGCGGGGGATGTCCAGGGTGTCCTGTGTACCTGAGTAAGACGAGAACAATGCAAAAAGAAATATTAAAAAATTCAGATCTTTCCAGAAAACTCTTCCAGGTAGAAGACACGTTTGGCACTATTTGTCTCTCACCTTTGTTAGCATGCATGCGTGGAGCCCCCGGTGGAGGTGGCATGGGCATGCTCCCATCCGACGGCGTCCTGTGGTGACCCATAGTTTGAGCCCGGGGTCGTATCGCCCCCTCCGAAGGGGTCCGTCTGTGTCCTCTGTTCAGGGCCATGGCTGCAGACACGTGCGTGGGCGTAAGCGACTGGTTGGGCTCCTTCTTAAAGCTCTCCGCCCGCAGGTCCAAGAGCGGGTTGAGGGCGGGAGCCGGGGGCGCCGCCGGCGTTTTGAGCCCCGTCACGGGGGTCAGGGGGTAGTCGTCCGGGTCGGAGGGAAGGAGGGACTTGGTGGAGTTGCAATCAGACAGCGAGGACAAAGAGAGGAGGGTCACAGAGGGAGACGGGTCCAGACAGGGGAGCGTAGAGTCGTGATGTCTGGAGAGGGAGAGGGAGAGGTTTCGGCTGGGTGGAGAGGTGCTGCGACGGAAACGTCCTGTCCGCTGGAAGAGACCTTCCTTCTTCTTACGCTGCTCCTCTCTGAGGTCCTGCTCATCCTGGAGAACCTGATGACAACAATCAGCTAACATCAACAAGCTGTCGTTCATGTCATTCCACAGGTGTTTTATTAGCTTAAGATGAGGCAGCTGCACCATCCTCAAACAGCGCTCGCTATGCTCGGCCATCGATCTACTGGTCATCAATCACGGGAATGACACTGAGGTCTGAGGCCTGGTTGGTTTTCTGTTGATGTTTTGTAGGTTAAAGTACGTCTTACACGTTCTGTCTCTCACCTGGAGTTTTCCCAGCTGCAGCAGGTCTTGTCCGAGGGCGACCGACGCGAGCAGAGAGGCACAACCCATCAGAAGCATATCGCTCTTCTTCCTCTGGCTGCAGCGACGCAGCGAGTCCTGGTTGCTCGCATTGCCAACATTAGGCACCGGGTTTGGCCCCAGGTTGCCCCACAGGGACCCAGAGTCCTCGGCGGCCCCGTTGCTGCTGGTCTCTGAGGGCTGCAGGGACCCGGGTGACTCCTCAAACTCGGGGCACTCCTCTGTGGAAGAGAGGAAATAAAAGAGGGGTGAATTGATGATTGATTGTTGTCACTAACTAACAATGAAAAGCAAAAACTCACCCATCTCATTGAGGCTGGAGAAGCCGGCAGTCATGGGTGCGTGTTTAGGGGACTTTCCCAGATTTGGTGCACTGGACGACCAGACTTTGCATCCTTCACCCAACGACTTCAATCTGTAGAACAGAAACTATGACGTTAACACAGAACTATGAAACAAATCAAAAGGTCTGTCAGGTGAGGACAGCCAACATGCCCAATGAAGTTTGTCACAGTAATGATTTATTAATCGAGAGCTTTTGTTTCTCTGTGTTACGAGAAATTATCTGTCCAGAAACACAACTTAGGCAAATTTGTCCCGTCTATGAAAACAGAAAAAGATCTTTTGATCAAATTCTTGTCCCTGCATTATGTTTCTCTTCCTTTTAAAAAACGCTGCTAACCTGCTGCAAATTGATGACTCAAACACCTAAACAGTTTCCTTTTGTTTGATTTTTTTGTTACATTCAGTGTTAGTACTTCACTTCGTTCATTGCATTGTTTAACGAGCTCGTACTTTTCCTCCCCGCCGACCCTCTCCTTCTGGATGGTCGAGCTCGGCCCCCAGGTGCGTCCTTTCTTCTTGCTGGTGGACAGCTCCTCCTTCTTGCACACAGCACTGCGTCCCCACGTCTTACTGCCGTCGCTGGGCGTCACTGAAACCGCAGATCCACGTTACAATCTCGCCGCGTGTTCACTCTCCACCACTTCACCACTTTTTAATTTTTTTCACTCACGTCTTATGGCCCTGAGTCGGGGGATGACCCCCGGGCTGGCAGGCGGGGTGGTGCTCTCGCTGCCCTGAGTCTTCCTCTTGTCCACACTGGGAGACGCCTGAACTGTGATTTTATGCTCAAACCCTACAGAAAAGAAAAGGTGAATGGTTTTAATCTCTTCAATTTAAAAGAGATTGAAGTAAAGTTGACATGGTGTTTTTATTTTTTATTTCCTGCATCGCATCCATCAGATTAAAACAAGCTGAAGAGGCTGACTGCAGGTTCCTCTTCCACCCACCAGAGGGCAGACTGATGCAGTTGCCGTCTCTGCCCAGTTTCAGTAATCTGCTCTTCTTGAAGTGTCCTTTTCGCTTCTTCACGCTGGGTTTCTCCTGGTACATCTGATGGATGATGATGTTCAGCTCTCGCTCCACGATGTCAATCTCCCTCTCTGCCAGCTCCTGCTCCCTCCTCTTAAGCTGCTCCTCCTGCTCCCTCTGCTCCTCAGCCGCTCGAGCCAACGCCTCCTCCCAGGACCTCAGCTCCTGGAGGGAGGAGTACGACGATGACGAGGAGAGGATAGGAAGAGGAATGGAAGAAAGAGACGAGAAGGGGAGAGTTTGAGGGTAAGAGGAGGAGGAATGTGTTGTTAGCACCTCATCTCACACCTCTGTTGGCAAAAGGCTTGTTGCTAAGGTGATTGTGATCTCCAGAAACACCTCAAACGGCATGATGATCAGATAGCGATGTGGTGAGGTTGTGAGAAAATCACTCTTCTGTTTGAACATCCTCAAATATAGCCTAAATTTCTCCAAATAATAATAATTCTGCGCTTTTAGATGTCTCACCTTCTCTTTGGCCCTGAGCTCGTCAAACATCTGCTGGATCTCAAGCCTCCAGTCTTCCTGTAAGGAGTGAAAAGACTCCAGAGGCATCTGAAACATGGCCGACTGCTCGATGGCCTGCAGTCGTTTCAGGATGTTGGTGAAGGAGGGCCGGCTGCGGGGGTTTGGGCTCCAGCACTCTGAGGGGGGGTCGGGGACGAGAGGTAAAGTTTACACAGAGGTTCGATTCATGTTTCCTGTGTTTTATCCTACTGTTCAGACGGTATGCAGAGGTTATCAGAATTAGAATCAGCTTGGTCATGTAGACTTATGCTACATGGAATTTGCCTCCTGTGTTTCCATCGCTCTCCACACGCTGTACATACAGTTTCTTTTTACAAATAAACATTTCTTTGTCAATAAATCCAATAAGAACACCATCACCGTGAAATCCATCTTTTTGATTCCCCCCCAAGTCTACAGCATTTGTTCCATGAATCTTTAAAAACATTCTCAAAAAAGACTGTAGTCCTCATCAAACGTTACTCAAGCAGGAGAAAATATGGAATTTATCGGACACAATATTCAGCTGTGGATTAACACACATTTGGTTGTCAGGTGAATATTTACAGCAGCGGGGGCCAGATGTAAAATTAACATAATCTACAGTTCATGTCCCTCAGTGCAACTGTGAGGCTCATTGATCTGCTTTCAACAACAATGAAGGAATGAGAAGGATCTGGTTTGGGCTCAACAGATGACTTAATATGATCTATTAATTGGTGGGTTCAGTCTAATAAAATAGCCCCTTACTTTTCCTTTCATCATGAATTTTACGTCTGTATTTTTTTGTCCTTCAATTTCTGGCACTAGAGTTGGCAACAACGAGAGGAGACAGCATATGGCAGCAATCATGAGCCAGAAACATGGTGCACACCTACAGCTATCAGACCTGCATCTCCAACACCAAACCTCACCCACAACCATGCACTGAAATACGTATTCTCACGAGACCAAACAGAGAGGGATTTAAGAGCAGTGTTGTCTATAGCAGCTAACATTTATGAGTATGGGGATACAAGTTGGAGGGAGAGGAGATGAAAGTGAGATGGGAGCAGCGAGGGATGACAAAGGAGAGATGAGCAGATGGACGTGGATAAGATGAAGTGGAGTGAGAGGTGCTATGACGAGGTGATGAGCTTTGGATTACTTGCAAAGTGAAAAGGAGAAATCCCGCCAAGGGGAGCAGGACAGCACGAGGAGTCACAAATAAACAACAACCGCAGACGGCGCTCACACATTTGAACTGATTGCGTTTATCTCGGCTACCAGATGCAGAATAAAAACAGCTGTAGCCTCAAAACGTTGTGTGAAGTCACAGCACTTTAAAAACACTCTTTTTCTAAAAGCATCATCTGGTCTCGGCAGCATTGACTCTGCATCCTGGGGTACTGCAATCGCTCCGTGCGGCGGCGGTCAGGCTGCTCACCTCCCAGCAGCTGAGCGAAAGGCTCGGGGCACGTGGACGGGATGGGAAGCGTGAGCTTGTTCATGGCGACACCGTAAGCGACCGCCAGCGCGTCTATCTCCCGGTAGGGAACCTCGCCGGTCAGCAGCTCCCACAGCAGCACCCCGAAGCTGTGAGGAGAGACGACAAGGGGAAACTTTGCGTTTTAGTGTCACAGCTGGAGACAGAATCAGTGGCCACAGAACGCTTTTGTGTAAAATGTAAAAGTTACAACGCACTGCGACACAAAGGACACAAAGGACTGACACAGGCTGAGCGCGAACGTCTTCAACAACAAAAAAAGTATAATCAGTTATTAAAGAAAACTTTACTCTACTTCAGTATTGTATAAGTACAAAGATATGGCAGTTTATTTAAGTATTCCAATTTTAATGTTACTATATACTTCTATTTCTTTTCAAAAATACATATTGTACTTTTTAGTCCACTAAATTGGATTTGGAATTAATCTAACTTATTAATAAAACATGTCAAACAATAAAAAACCAAATAATGAGCTTATAAAATATGACGCACTGTTGATTTGAAAAGACTATTTTGATCAAATAAATTCACAGCAGTAGAATGCTGCTTACATATTAATGCATCATTAGTGTGTTAATCCAATAAATGCTGCATCGATCAAAATGATAAAAGATAAAAGACATTTTTTGAATTGTGAAAAGAACTGTGTGCTAATTATGCTCACTTCATTTACTTAGTGAAACTATGTAATTGAGTGTTTTTACATTCCAGTGTTCTTGATTGTACCTCCACACGTCGCTGCTCTTGGAGAAGAGCGAGACCTTGATGACCTCGGGGGCCATCCAGGCGTAAGTCCCCGCCGCGCTCATCTTGGTGGTCTGGTGCCACTCTCTGGCCAGACCGAAGTCCGTGATCTTCAGCGTTCTGCCTCCCAGGTCCTCCCGCTCCACCGGCTCCAGGATGAGGACTGAGGAAGAGGAGCAGACGCGGATTCGTGTTAAAAGAGTTTTAAGACGCTCATCTAAACGGGCAGCAAAGAGATCTTTTTTTTGTTTAATCCGAAACAAACAAGCCTCAGCTTGGTCCACAGGAAACTGTGATGCTGGTTTTCTCCACTTATTCCTGAAATTTCATGAGCCAAGTTTTTGTGTGACGAAGGGGATAGATTGCTGAATCATCACCTTTTTACCGTCGGTAAAACCTGTTGATTTACAGTGAGTGTACCATTCGAAAACAAGATGTAAAAGCAGTGCAAGTTCAACAACGCAAGTGTTTGCAGAGCAGGTGCGGTCGAACCGGCGCGCTATGGTTTCTGCTGGAGGGCACAACTTGAACGAGTGGACACTTCCCGTCTAATGTACCTACGCCTTCTCTGCTGGCATAAACAGAATCACAAAGTTAGACCTATTTTATCATTTCATTCTCATCTTTTTTATAAATACACCACATGTATTATATATATTATTTTTCCCGTTAGCTAATTTTTCCGTTGCGCGTCTCCCGTCTTCCTTTATTGCAGATTAAAGTTCAGGGGGACAATATTGTTGATTGCCGTAATCCGATCTTTAGTTTGACATGTTGGGGATACTTTGACGTGCCAGAAGTACCGAGGTCGCCTCGTAAGTGCAGCAGTAACGTGCACCGTGATTGGCCAATGGGCCAGCGTGACTTTTGCCCAACAGAGCGCTAGCTAGCAGACCTTCGTATTTAAGCGTTCAGGCTGAACTTTGTTGCATTGTTTGTTGCGCTGGGGCGTCGTGGGGAGGTTATTAGGTTGTTGGACTGTAGTGAGACGGCACAGAAGGTAGAAAACGCACGGGCCGCGATGTACACAACATCCTGGTTCATGTTGCCATTTAACCTTGTCTCCCTGTGTGTCCTTTCTCTCTGTTATGTACGACTTCCTCCTTCATTTCCGTGTGAGGGCCGTCTATGGAAATATTTCTACATCACAGGCACTGGGAGGAAGGGAGGGAGATGTTCTCTCTCCCTCTCTCTCTCACTTATCTACAGGCGTATGCAAAAGGTGGTGGAGAGAGTCACACACACACACACACACACACATAGCGGTGCCTTTGTTTACACACTCCTACACAGTCACACACTTGCTCACACACAAGCTTTCACGTGATGAAGGTGTGTCTCTCTGTGCTCTGTACACACTCGCCATCAGGCACCAGTTCCAGCGATAAAGAATTGCTCGCCGAACAGTCTGTAGCTTACATATTTCCATGGAGAAGTATTCACATCGTTTACTTTAGTAAAAGTAGCAGAACCAAACTGAAAATACTTTACAATGAAGGAAAGTGAAAGCGATTTAAGTGAAGGTTTAACATCCCTACTAACATGTGGTCAGTTTTTAAACTAAAGGTTTAACTACTTACTTTTTTGCTAAAATAAATGGCCAGTCACTAGCTCCTTGTTCTATGTATGTTCCGTTAACAAACTTTGCCAAAGGATTTGATGATTTTCTTTCTCAGATGAAAACGAGCATCAGAAAGTAAATTCAAACATTCTGAACAAAAACACACAGTGATCACAGAGTGTTTACCGATCACTTCTCTTTATTGTGAGGCTGTATTGGTTTTGGTTAGAAACATAATAATCATCAGATTTATCTATAATTATGTTTGACTTCATGGGGTTAATTTAGGTCAAATTTGACCTACGCATTGAACTATAAACTCCTAAATATAGCAGAATAAAGAGTCTATGTTCCATAACAATCGACTGAACTGGAGGAATACAGTAAGTTTGTAAAGTGAAGAAGCACTTCAAAGATCGGCTCCAGTCGTCTTTTCTCTCTCCTGACACGGCCGTCTCTGTGAGGGACACCTGTCTCCTCGGGGCAAACTCTTGCTGTCGTTCCCGAGAACAAAAGATGGAGTCCAGTGAAACTCAGAGAGAGCTCTGTGTTTGCGTGCTTTGATGGGTGTGTACCTTTCCTGCTCCTTGTTTTGTGTGTGTGAATATAGAGCACATCCATACGGGCCAGAGGACATCATGGTCTGTAGGTGGAGGGAGGGACGCAGGGGGGGGAGGAGAGACGGAGTCTAAATGGAGGACTGTTTGCGGAAAGCGAACGTGTGAGCGAAGCAGCACTTCCACCTGCTCTCTCCACCCGATTTAACTAGAACTTCATCGCGTTGCTTTCACACCTCGACAGCGTCTCCCCGACGCTTCTCAACACCACCTGCGCATGCTCCGTCATTAATCCCGCCACAGGTTTTTACCGCCGCCAGCGTTTCGTCAGACACAAAAGATCAACATGTTTGTATATTCGGCTGGAAGCAGAGAAACCAGAAGAGCAGAGATACAAAAAAACAACAAAAAAAATGCATCAAAGCACACTCTGTCACAGCTGTGGAGAATAAAAGTCCTTAAGGATAATGTGGCTTTTAACCAGAATGCAATCCTTCTGGAAATACTATCTCAAAATAGAGTAATGCAGCGGATGGGTGGATGGGTGTATAAGTGACGGACGGGAGGAGGAGTACAGGGCAGTAGTGGAGGACTTTGTGGAGTGGGGTGGAAGTCTGGCCAAGACCAGAGAGATGGTGGTGGACGTCTCCACAACCATTGAGAGTTCTGGGTGAGGAAGTGGACGTAGTGGTGGAGAACAAGTACCTGGGTGTCTCCATCGACAACAGACTGAACTGGAAGGCCGACATCAACGCTGCGTACAAGAAGGAGATGAGTCGACTCTTTTTCTTGAGGAAACTTCGATCCTTTAATGTGCGCAGCAAGTTGTCTGTTGTGGCTCTGTACTGTGCCATCGTCTGCTGTGGGAGCAGCATTGGAGCTGCTGACACCAACAGACTCAAGACAAAACCCCTCTGGCTAAATCCTTGTTTATTTGAACATCCACTGCACTAGTGTCTTATTTAATATCAATAAAATTGCACTACTGTGCAATATACATATTCCACCCCACTGTACATACTCCGATCTCACTTTTACTTTAAATACAATATGTTACTGCTCTGCTATTTTATTTTATTTTATTTTACTGTACTGGGTATATATTGTGCATTTTTCATTACTCATTTTATTTACTGTACTGCTGCTATTGCAGACAAATTTCCCTCTGGGGATAATAAAGTATATATCTATCTATATATATGCGAAGGAAACAAGAACACTGTCAAGCTGTGTGGTTGCTACAAAGTCTTGCATAGCAACAAGCATGACGCAAAATATCACAGGCCATAATGGGTTGTTGATAATTTAAGTTAATATGTGTTATTTTACTATTACTCAACACGAAACTGCTGCTAAACAAGCATGTGATGTAAAACCAAACAGTAGGTGATTAAATAAGGTCCAAAGTTCTTCTTCCATCTGAAACCTCTGTGTGGAGTTAAAAGTGAAACTAGTAGTAATGCTCATATTTAAAAGTGTGTATTACAATATTGAGTGAGCATTTTTGCATGCTAACATTGTCAAATGAACAGTGAAGTGCGACTATCTGGTGGGGGAGTCAAAGCGTTGGACAAATTGTGAGAATAAATGTCAGAGGATCATCTAAATAATCACAAATTATCCCGTAGCAGTAGAGACAATTCCCTCATAACCATAGAGCTGGATAGATAGATGGCAATAACCAACATTTTGGAAACAAACCAATTGGATTTCAGTATATAGTTAATTAATAAAAAGCAATTGTTAGGCAGCCCGGTTCAAACTTGACCCGTATTTACTCGGCAAACGCAATCAGATAACAAAAGGCCTGTGCAAGGCCCTGTTAAGATTACCCATTTAGGACTGGCACACCAGGTTGTCACTGGGTGGAGACTCAGAAGCCGACTGGCTACGTGGAGGCTTGGGGTACACAATGTGAACCTTTGTGGCATTCTGCCCTGCTGTCACAGTATTATCGGCCCGCTGTCACAAACACCTGCCGATTGTCCCACCGAGAGAGAAGCAGTTTTATGCCCCATATGAGTAACTGTTGATTTAACCTTTCCACTGCCACCACTCTCTCCTCCATCCCTGGACCCTGACCCCAGCCCAGTGTTGAAATATAACTCAGAGCCACTGTTCAAACACGTATGGAGGATTAACCAGCGGGCCTTCGACCTGACTAATGATCTCCAGAGTGGTTAGTCGGCGCAGCGAGCACCAGTGACACATTTGCCCTCTCGGGAATTTTTAACACAGAGGAATGCAGTAAAAGGTCTTATGATGTTTATGTCGGAGCCAGGTTTACAACACCATAAACTAATATTTGGCATGCGGTGGTTCAAACTGCAAACTTACTACAGAAGGGAAGCAGGAAAACATTTAGGAGGTTTAGGAAGGAATATTTAATGCAGGTTTTTTATAGGCACTTGATCTGTGAGACGTCACTCAGGAGAGAGACTCTATGGTGAAATACGAAGCATGAAGTGCAACTTAATGACAATCAACAAGTCCTTCTGTAGAACCACCATGAACCGTGAAGGAAACACAACGTTTGACTGGTTAACTTTTGTGTTATTATGGCTCAGTTCAGTTTGCTGTGTCATTAACTTGCTGTTATGGTAACAAGGGCAGAGGTCACAGACCGAAACCATGACACTGGGAACCAGGAGAGGACAACCCTCATGCCTCTATGAGGACGCATTGTTTTTTCTTTTCTTTTTTCTCTGACTCAATTTCCTGCTTAATGGGGCATTCCACTGAGTATAGAAGTGTACATCCTGTGAAAACAGCTGTATAATGTCTTTTGCTTTTTGAGCGTGACTTTGGACTCACTGGTGTTTGAGTAGATCTTCATCTATTGCTTCATTTTGACCTCCAAATTGGACACCTTTCGGGTAAGGCCCCTCCTAAATAAATCATCATTAATATAACATTGGTGCTCTGTTGGGATGACTACACGTATTCAAATACTGTCAAATAATCATATTCAGTGTGTCGGGAATAAACTTCAGAAAGACACAGGGGAAAAAAAAATCCTTCGTGAAGAGGATTTCTCTAAATGAT